GTACACTACCCTACAAACAGGACTGGGGTAGGGACTGCACCAGGTGAGGTTGTGGGGATGGGACCGTCCACCTGCTTTACCACAGTGACTTTATCACATGCAAGGCTGTGCACTAAACCACAAGGGGGATGGACTGGGGTGGGGTGTTGAGGGGCAGGTTAACACTCACCTCTCCTGCCTTCTTGCCCTTGTCAATGGCATCAGCCAGCACGTAGGAGCTGGACACACCATAGCTCAGCCACACCACGGCTGCTGGCACCATGGAGCGGAAGGCCTCCCCCACCTCATTGGCGTAGCCTGGTCGGGAGGAAACATTTAATTCCATTTAATTCTGGGGTGCATGGGTTGTTCCACAAGGGGGCACTCCAGTGAGCTGGTTCTAATCCCAGCCTGCTAAGCCGAAGCTGGATGACCTTAGACAAGAGGTTTTATCTCTGAACCTATTTGTTGGCCTATAAAATGGCACCCATGATGCCCACCTCCATTCTAGGGCCACTGTGGGAGAGCTGAGTACAGTCACCATGATCACTCACGTTCCTTCCCAGTCTGCATTCCAGAAGCATCTGCACTCATGGGGGCACAGGCAGGGACAGACTGACCAAGGGCAGCTCCACTGACCAGGCACTCACCGTGTGCCCGGCCTTTCTGTGCCTTATCTCATTCTACCCATGCAACTACCACCTGATCAGAGAGGCCTGTGTTCACCCCTTTTTGGCAAGGAGGAAACTGAGCTGGGACAGAGCCCGTGAGAAGCTGGGATAGGAGTCCAAATATTTTAACTCCAGTGCTGGGGCATGTCAGGCAAGGCAACCCGCTCGCTCACCCCATTTCTCCAAGCAGGGTCCGAGCTTCCCCCTGGGAGGCAGAACCAGCAGAGATCCCCCAAGGGCAGGGCTGGGCTGACCGAAGCTGTGTGACCTTGGGTAAGTCTCTAAACCTCTCTGAGCCCAACCTCTGGCCCAGGGGCAGAATGAGAACAAAGATCCTCCCACCATCTCCGGGACCCGAACCAGCGTCCGGCGACCCCCTCCTTCCCCAGCTACAGGGTGGGGGAGTCGCCGTGCCCCCTCGCCCTGCTCTCACCCAGGTATCGCACCCACGTGTCCCGAAAAAGGTCGCGCTCTGCACCCCGCGGGGGCGACTCGGCCATGGCGCCTCCGCTGAGGTCCGGGTCCCTGCAGCCGGTGGTGCCGCCGCTGCCTCAGCCTCCACGGACCCTCCGGTCCAAGGTGGCGGGACCGACTGAAGGTCCCCGACTGAAGGACAGGTCGCGCTGTCAGCACCAGCAGGGAGCGTCTGTAAATTCCCCCGCGCACCGAAGCCCCTCTCCCAGGCTCGGGCGCCGCCGCTTTTCTCCGCGCTCGCCATGGGGCGGAAGGCTCCGCAGACCCTCTCCCGGGCCCGAAGGCGGCCAGCTACGCTTCAGGGCTGTGTGTCCCCAGGGCTCCGCTTCGTCTCTGAGCCTCACTTCACTCGCCACAGCGCTCGCTGCTGGGACCTCGGTGAATTATGTCATCATCTGTTGCGTAATATGATTGCTGGCCTGGTCGTCGGCCAAAGACGAACTAAGACTTGAACCGCTAAAGGCTCTAGACAGATTCCTTCCTTTAAACCCACCCATCCACCTGTGAAACCCCACCTCCCCATTTTACAGATGAGGTAATGGAGGCACAGGAAAGATGGGGCACTTTCCCCCGGGGAGGCCAGGATTGGCTTCATCCAGACCCTGTGCTCTCAAGAGGAGCTCAGGAAGTGAGCCTGGAGGGGCGACCGGTGAGCGCCCCGGGGAGATGACGCTCGGACTCTATGAAGTCCCTTCCCTGCGGGTGCCATGCTCACCTATCGGGTACTGAGGTGCAAGCTGGGTGGGTGTGCCCCTAGACAGAACCCCTCGGGGACAGGACCTTGAATGAATGAATGAATGAATGAATGAATGGGGCCAGGGAGACAGGGTCGCGGTGCAAGGCTTCAGGGAAATGAGCAGAACAGAATGAGGGGACTTGGGGGTTAGCGATGACAAAGGAGGGAGCTCTTCTCCGGCCGAACCTCAGTTTACCCACGTGAGAAACGAGTGCAGCTCCGTGAACCCTTTGGGGGTATCAGCGAGCAAAGACAGTCATTAAAGACAGGCAGGCCTGGGTTCAAATCCCAGTCGTGTGGCCTATTACCTGTCGGCCACCTGTTAAAAAATGAGTAGCGCACCCTGTGTGCTCGCTTGTACCGGACTCTCTTCCAAGCGCTTTGCACGTATCATGTCCTTGAATATTTGCAACAACCCAAGGCGTACAGCACGGAGTTGTTGCATGGTACCCAGTGGGCGTTCATTAAAGAATTAGCTTTTATCATTAAATAAAATAGGAAACAATGATGAGCAATGACTCTCTATTGCGGGTCCCATGTTCAGCCCTGGGCGTCGCTGTGTCTGTAGGGTCGAGTACGGAAAGCCTGGCCAACGGCGACCTCTCGGAAAGCTGGGCTCGGGGCTCCAAGAGTACCCCAGCCCCTGAAACACCGGCAGTGCTGGAGCGGAATTAGGAGACGGTCCCTAACACCACGTGATTGTTGTTCCTCCGCCTCCCTCCGGAGCGTGGCTCACTGCAGGTACTCCGCGAGCTTGCCGCGGACCCCTACTTGTCAGCGCGAAAAAACTACCTACCAAGCACTTAGTAGCCCGAGTGGGGCGGGGCTTCCGGTAGTGAAGGCGGCCAGGAACTTTCTTCGTGCCCTTAGCAAAGATGGCGGAAGACAGCCCACCGGGTAGGCCAATTAGGAGGCAAGCTGCGCCGTTGCCCCCTCCCCTCCATGGGAAACCGCGCGCCGGAGAAGAGCGGTGGGTGGTTTCTGCGCATGCTCCCCGTCGCTAGGCTCTTGAGGCGGGAGTTCAGGGCCGTGGGTGACGAGCGGCGAGGAGCGCGGGGCGGTAGGCATTGACTTCCACTGTCTCGTTCACCGAACGTCACTTTATTCATTGGTTAATTTTCCTAACAGAGCGTTGTAAACCAAGGTCGGGATGTCCTCCTGAAGGTTCTGCCTGGGGCGCATGCATCCTCGGGGCCCCCCTCCTGCTCCCTCAGCTGCGCCAGACCGGCTCCCCAGGCTGGGCTCCGGCGCAGCCCAGGACCTGGTTTGCATTTGCGGGACGTGGGGCTGGGATAAGTGCTCTGGTTGCCCGCCAGCTCCCGTCCTGGAGCGGCTCCATGGCCCGTCACGCGGGTGGAGGCGCTGGGGGCGGGGGCTGCGAGG